CGCGCAAGCTTCCGCACCACGCCAACAGCACGTGCTGCGGCGGCGGCGGCGGCGGGCCTACCTGCGCGGGGGCGGCGCGCGGTGGGCGTCGCAACGGGCGCGCTCGACGAGGCCGGCGCGTCGGCGGCGGGCGGGGGCGGCGGGCGCGGCGGGACGGCGGGGCGGCGGCGCGCGGCCGGCGCCCGTCGCCCCCGTGGCGCTCCACCCCGGCGCGGCCCTTTGCCGCCCGTCGCGCAGCGCGAGCTTCGCCCCATCCTGCGCGGAGCTGCAGTTCATCACGGGCCGCATCGCAAGGCGGAATCAGGAGGCCGAGCTCATCAGCGACTGGAAGTTCGCCGCCATTGGTGGTGGAACCGCTTTCTGCCCTCAATGCATCTTCATCCATGTTCACCATCATCGCGACCTGGCCGTGCTGCTCTCCGCGCGCGCCACATCATCGTGCAGTAGTGGCCGATGCTCCGGAAGGCTCCCCGAGACGAATCTTGAGGCTAATTGGCGGCGGGCCGCGCCGCGGTACGCGTGCCCGGAAGAAGGCGGGGGATCTGCACATGGGGTGGCTTTCTGAGAACGGCTCACGCGGAAGTTGAATGCGGTTTGCCTTTCAGGGTTGTAGAATATTACGCGCGGATGCCCTACTCCTCGCGACTTTAGTGCGATTTATTATTGGAATGAGGCTTACTTCGTTGGATTCGCCCGAAAGTTGTTTGATCCGTAAGATCGTATGGCAGTTATCGGATATCTTCCCCATCAAGATCCAATTACTCCGGGCATTTTGTATTTTACAGAATTAGCTTCCTGGTCCAAATCGGGTGCACCGATGACATTCATCGAGAGAAGCCAAGCCCCACCCCCCGCCGCCGCCGGGCACAGGCAGAGCCCTCGGCGGCGCAGCCTCTCGACATCGCACAAATTTGTACTTTTGCCCTGGCTCTCATGATATACTGTAGCGACCTGGTCACTACCTGCAGACGAAAAATGTATTGTTGTTGATGGTAACCTAAGCATATACATACAACTATATACATATATACATAACTATATACAGAATTATAAAAGAGTTTTTCAGACGCTCTTGTGTGATCTCTTGAGCCCGCCAGGCAGCGCTCAGGCTTGTGGCTCTGACGATGCTTCACTTTGATTTATTATTCTAACATAATTTGGGCACATTACTTCCGAGAACGCAACCCTTTCAATGTCTTAATGCTGGAGCGCAAGTTACAAAGCATGCCTAGTGTTAAAGAGCAGCGCGCGCTTCAGAACTTTAAGAATTTTCAGAGTATCTATGAAATCCACTTCCGTAATTAACAGACCCTTCATACTGCGCATTTCATGTCACATTTAGAAATATTGGCGATACTTGCATTAAACTGTTCCTTCCCCCTAATAATTATTCCCTTTCATTAACCTAATATTCACATCCCACATGCATGTTCTTTCTTCTTCGTTTATTTAAAAAATATATTATTTTGTTGTAAGCAGTTAAAAGTACCTCCGAAACTAAAAAACCTAACCACATTTTTTAGAAAGACATTTGTCATGTGTACGCTACTTAATTCACACTCGCCAAGTAAATGTCTAACGGAAAACTCTTGAATGAGTACGTACTCCCCCACTCCGCCTCCGAGGCGCCAGGAAGGCGAATGCGAAAGGAGAATGTGCCCGAGTGCAAGCGGTCGAGAAAGCGAGCCACCAGCCTGCGCGCGGTCGCCGCGTCGTCCTCATCCCTCACAGCCCCACGCCGCCCCGCGCCCCGCTTTTAGAGCGCAGTTTACTCCGATACGAGCGAAACGAGCGGCGCGCCCTTCACGTTGCGCCCTCCACTAGGCGCTCTTGAAACCGCACCAAAAACACACTCGTTATCAGTTTCACAGTTGCGGTTGCCTCGTCCGTGTTGTTTTTATTGGGGAGTCGCAATTATACTTTCATTGTTATAAAGAAATTGGTGTAATGTGATATCGTTAAACATTGTAAACGCCTTATACGTCAGATACGAGTTAGTCCTTCTGTGTACACAACGAATATGCGTGTCACAAGTCATGCCTCTTCAGGATTTAGGTTTCCAGATTTTTGCATTCTGACCTGGCTATAAAGGTAAGTATTACATTTTTTGGCATTGCAGGAACAACTTACATATTTTGTATTGCTTTACGGCAGATAATATAAAGAGTTTCATCAATCTTTATTCCTTTCTTATTAACACAATCACATGGGAATAAAAGAAGACCACTCTACAAAACAGAACATCAAATCAGATTTGTCTAAGTTGTTGTAATGTGTTTGTGTATGTTTCGCCTAATGTCCGAATCTAGCTACCTTGCGAATTACCTAATTCCAAATATCTATTCACAGTATTCAAAATGGGTGGATAATTTCCGACGAAGGAACGGCTTCGATGCACATTTCGTACTTTAGTCAAAGGAAGAACGTATTAACCAACACAAGGAGACTCAGGTAGGAGAACCTTTGTTGCACGAGAGTTGCCGCTTGATAGGAACAGTTGTCAAGGTTTCGCCCATCACACTGCGACCTGCCTAAGGGCGAAATGCGCCTTTTCCAGCTTACAGCAGCATTGCAGCTTTTCCCTAAGTATCTGGAAAATGTGCCAACTTATTGGTTAATTCATGAAATAGCCACATTTTGAGCTTAAGCCGTAACAGACATAATATACTTTACTATTGCACACTTGCGAGTTACACCTGCTGTTATACCTAACATTATTAATACTTCAGAATCTTACAATTAATTGACAATTCAACAAAAGTTTCTATATATCTCTCTAGTTAACATTTTACTAGTATGTAAATTTTAATATTAGTTTTGTGTTTTCATGCTGGATTAGTATGAGAATTTCTAAAATCAATCAATTGACAAATTAAAAACCTACACGTAATATGTGCTGACGTTTAGTTAAAATAAAATTGTGGCCAATAGTTGTGGAAAGATTTAAAACGCAAAAGGATCTCGAAATAAATTAAAATTCATAATTTCTTTAAAGATAATTTTTCATATAATTCACTTCTGTTTAGAGGCATTTTAAATACAAACGAGTCGAGTAGTAAAAAACAGCGTTATTATATACAATAAAATATGAATATCCTACTTTCCTATAGTGGCAACGATACTGCAGGGTATTGCATAAAAAAACCTAGTGGTCGAATAAAACACACAGTTATACAGAGAGCTGAAATAGGTTATGAATAAAGTATTATTTCACAAAGAAAGACGATTCTTTTCTTGAAATGCACCAGTGATAGAAAATATGGTACTTAAATACACATTACATAAAAAACTGGCTTATTTAAATGATTTTGAATATTAGATCGCCAATGGGAGAACTAGAAAAGACTGTCAAAATCTCAAATTATTTGTAATATCATTAAAAGATCAATTTGAGAATAAAACAAGAATATACTTTACAAAATTAAGGTGATGCCACTTTTGCTTTTATGGATCCAAACGTTGGACATTCGCATAAAAACAAAATTCTGCATTTCAAAGTGCAAAAGTAGTTTTTTTAAAAGAACTTCCAGGAGTAAAGAGCAAATAATGACCAATTACACGAAAAAATCCGAAAGTGTGAGAGGTTTACAAGAAAACTTCGAATAACAGATAATTGTGTGCCACGGAGAGACTGAGACAATAGGTCACTTTTACTAAATTTTGGAGAAGAGTACTTTAATGATGCTGCTTTCTTTTGGACGTACACGGACGCGTTGCTCTACTTTCAAATTCGTTAATAACACATTGAAGGCATACCTCTCAACGTACGTCCACGAAGAGGAATGAAATTGTAACAAGTGTGTTAAAATATTCCATTGGGAAAAAATGACAGGGTGTCCTATAACAGAGCATGTTCGACAGGGTAATATATTTAATACATAATTTGTTGACGGTGTGACGTTGAAAAAGGAGAGGAAAATAAGACATTTTGAAAGGCGAAACCGATGAAAACTTTTCTTTGGCAGAAATGAAATAATTTGTTTCAGTGAATAAGTATCTTGGAATAAATATAGGATAAATTTTTTAACTCAAAAATAAAGTGAGGGTGCAAAAACATGCGTGTCAATTTCCTTTTCCATTCCCATCTTCTATTCTTTTTACTTACTCGCTACGGAGTAGAGAGAAATTTATATAAACCTGCGCGAGAAAATGGCAAATTTATGGCAAGAAAAACTCTTCTTATAGGGCCATGGTAACGAAAACGTAGATAAATCCTGTTGCTAAATTTATAATCCTCTATGCTATGCTATGCCTTGGTGTAGACACAATTCATATTTTGTGGGTCCTTGGTACCGAAAAATCGAATGAAAGCAAAACGTCTCTCTGTGCGCCCATCTGTCCACTCGTCCGTCAGTGAACAATGGTAGCGGCAAAATCGTTCATCCGATTATCTCGAAAATTGATATTCCCCAATCGATCTGACTGATGTCGCGAACCCTTGAACTTGAAACCGATATTTTAATATAGGAGGTACTTTTCATGGAATCCCTGGGACATTTTCCAACTTTTCTAACAAATGTCACCATCGTTGTTGATTAAATTTTGTAGTCAGATGCTGTAAAGGACGTTTTAGAGAATGGTGTAGGTCTAATGTTCGTGGAAACCCTGATTTTTTCGAATATTCCAAAAGTCCGAAATTGTTTCTCTTCCTAGAACTAAAATATTAAAGATAGAGATTTTTTTCCTCAATGAAATCAATTTCTTAAAGATAGATATTGAAATAAAATCATGTTCCTCTTTTCGAAACTTTTAACAGTTTTTGCGTAACTTTGCGTGAAAATACGGACAAGAAAGTACGTGCTGTTTTAGCAAATCTAGATAAAAGTTGCTGTGCACAAATTACTATTTTTTATATTACTTTTTCTAAGAATAATTCCGAATATCGCATTACCTACCAAATGGTAACTTTAGAACATACACAATCAAACTGTACCCATTATTCTTTGAACAAAGATTCCGTGATTGCTATTAATCGAACCGGGTAGAAAGGTACCGGAAGGTAGAAAAAAGTAAAGAATACTGTTACTATCCACATTGGTGCTCAAATTTGAGTAGCATAAATGTGAAAGCTGAAGTTCATGATATATTTTACTTAACGGCTAACTACAAAGCCACTTTGTTCTCCCTCAAAGTTTTGTAAACGTTTGCTGCCGTTTATCATATCCTTAATTTGACTACCTAATAATCTTTGCGTATTTTTCTTTGATTATCAGACATACTACATATAAACACCTTCACAATATTTTTAATGTAAATATCGTTACAAGAATTGTATTATATTGAGGAAACAGTAAAGTCTCCAAAAATGTTCTTGTTTAAATAATTCCAGTCTGTTAAGTAGTTTAAAATGATATACAATGCATCGAATTTTGTTACAAAGATATACATAAAAAACATACGTAAAAACGTAAAATTGAAAAATAAAGTCAACACCTATTCTAACATTTTAGCAGGCTCAAATAATAGCTCATAGATTACAACTGAACAAAAGTTCCATAAATTATCAACATTTCCTTTTAAATGCAATACCAAGTATTTAATAACAAACAGTAGGTCATATTAACG